TCTTAACCCTTATTTCATATAGCCTTCTAGGTAAAGGATTCTATTCAAAACTTCTTCACTATCATTGTCCCTGTTCTATCATATATTTGCTCACAAGAAATAAACATTTCAGCTGCGTGAATTGTTTTATTTTTTCGATGTAGTACTAAAGGATGACACATGTGGAATTATGATAGCGGGTGAAATGTTGCGGTTGTGGATGTTTTCCAATCGTTTTTCAAGCTGGGTTGAATAGGAAAAACAAGAAAACTACACAAAAAGAATTTGTGATTGGCATTTTGATTCTGTAACCGCTTCTTTCTTGGGGTGGTGATAAAATTGGTGGGCACGAAATCTGGGACAGTGAAGAATTTTTTTTGTGGAAGGATAGAAAACTTCAGTAAAAATAGAGAGAGAAGAAACAGAATGGAAAAAGAAAGAGAAATGAGAAGATGAATCAAGAAAAATGAAGGATTGTACCGGGGATAGTGAAAGGTGCTTTATACTACAGGACTTGCGAGATGTAAGTGAAATGAGAGATGGCAGGTGAGAAGCACACACAGAATGGAGATGGAATGACAACCTCAATGGGCGGCAACATCGCAACCAATGTCAGGCAATATAGTGCTTTTCTGGATTTTGGAGATATCAATGTCAAAAAGAAAATCAGCGGGAGTCGAGCAAAATGGGCCTGAGGATTTCCAACTCACATTTATGACAACATTTGGGGGACAGCAATAAATAGTTGTGTATTCGTCCTTAAGGCACTCATATATGCGACGTTTTGTGTCAACTGCTCTTGCAGGCTTTGCTGTTTTTTTGCAAGAGTATCAAACCAATTTCGTTAAGTAATGTCACAACTGAAAGTGTGTTTTGATCGGTAAACTCCAGAATCCATGTGCAAGATGCTAAACTACACTCACAAATCAGTGTTAATGATGACTTGGAGGGGTCTTCTTGAACCCTGCATGCCCCTTTGGATTTTTCGGGACCACAATCAAATCGTAGAAATTGGTTTTCTTGTGCGCTTAAAACCCCGCAAGCGAAGGCTAACATGATCGTTAATTTTGCAAAGTGCATGACTGCGACTGGATTAGGAATCTGAGAGAATCTGCAAAGCAACCCTGGCGGTAAGTCACGAGAGAAGCAGATAATCATTACCAGTTTGCATACGTTAGAGAGCTGTGTTTTACCTGTTAACACTTGAATAAGATGGTCTATCTATGTCTTTGGGGTTGGAATGCCAGGTCAGAGTAGCAGGTTGGTGGGTTTGGGACGCAGGAGATGGAGGCCATCTCCGGGAAAATCGCCGTGCTTTATAGAAATCAGCGTTGCCAGATGTTGCCCAATTTTTCATTTGCACCAACAAACAACGACAAATAAAGAACCTATGTGTACATAGATGGCTTCACCGCATCTCATTGCGCGTCCAGGTGGCGTGCATGGAGACTTATATGTATTGACTAAATATTTACACTGTGGGGCAAGTCGCCCCGCTGTTGTGGCCAAAAAATTTCAACTTCATACCTATTCATTACAAAAAACCGGAAGGACCTGGAAGGACCGTAAGGGGCGGTATCAAAGTTGAACGACGAGTGTTGCCCACATAAGATACATGCCGTTGTCACAGCAACGATGGGAAGATACTTTACCCATTTGGTTAACACTGCCTGTAATGGACAGTATTAACCCGTACACCTGATGTGATGATCAGAAAGATATTGGTCAAGTATTGGTTAAGTTACTGGTAAATGGTGACCAGATGATTAATATCTTTTCATTATCATGTTTTCTTAGTCTATTTTGAAATGCTTTTGCCGTGTCTTTACAAAATAAAAAGAAAAAATTTCATTGGTAAAACTTCTATCCTTTCAAGTACCACTTTCAAGAGTTTATCTTTAGTTAAAGGTAAAATAACCTTATAGCTCTTGAGTAGACAATATTTCCTCTTGAATATTTTCAGCAGAGTTGATTTTCCAAAAAAAAAATGATGTTGCTAGGAGTGATTGACATCAATCCATTTTTTGGTTATAGCCCAGGTTTTTTGTTGTCTTGTGAATCGAGTTCTCCTTGTTATCCCTCCACTATTCTTTAGATTCTGTGAGTTTATAATTATTTTGTTTTTTGACGCAGTACCTTGTTCTGTTTTTACTTGGTTCTTCAAATTTTCACATTTTTCAGAAGTAAATCAATCTGAAATGTGATTTATTGCGCTGGAATACATCTAAGGTAAGATCCTCATTACCCTGTTGGATAAGATAATTGGTGAGTTGCTCTTTCGTGATAGACTGGTTGGAAGGATTAGTGCTTGAAAGCAAGATAAAATCTGAACCACCCCTTAGTAAGGTTAAATAAAAGTACATGATTTTTGGGATTTTTCTCTCAAGAGGGGAGTGATAATCACACTCCCTCCCCCTTCGCGCACGCACTCCAACACACCAATTTTGATTGGCTTGTGGTGCTGCATGTAGCGCTGGATCCCGCGGGGTACCCGGCACCTCTCAGGCTGCCCGGCGTCCCGACCCGGGGTATACCCTTCAGCCAGGAAGGCAAAACACAGTGCCCGAGCTCTTCCCTTTGGGAATCGGGAACGGTACACGGGTATTTATTTTTCCCACGGGACTGTTTTCTGCATGGGTATACCCGGCCTTATTTGGTCCCTCTTCAGGCACAGCCCGGCCGCAAGTCAAAAGAAAGCCAACATGAAGGCACCTAGCTCAAAGTCGAAGACCAAACCTGCCAAGACTCAAAAGCTTACAGCAATTGAGGAAGATATTTTTGGAGAGTCCAAGGTTCCAAACGACCTAAGCACTGAGATCAACCAGTACATTGCTGAAGTTATCGAACAAGCAAGCTGCAACATTCTCGCCTACTGGTCTCAAAACAAGAAGGTCTATCCATCGTTATTGTTGATGGCCAGCTGTTTCCTTGGCATCCCTGCAACAAGTGTGCCTTCCAAACAAGTCTTCTCAAGATTGAAGACAATCATTGGATCACAGCGTCACAGCCTCAAAAGCTCATCAATTGCGCACCTTCTTTGTGTCAAAGAATGGTACCAGAAATTTGACAAGATGATTGATACCTCTACTTTGAGCAGCAATCAAGTCAATGACAATGCTCACAGCAGCAACGACGAAGACAACCAAGATGATGATGATGATTAAAGACTTGTGTTTTTCCATTTCATTTCTTGTTCTTGTTCTAGTTGTTTATGGTTGTAATACAAACATTCAAAATGATTCAAAATGGTCATCACCCCCCCCTTTCCCTTGCCCAAAATTCCCGGGATTCCCCGCCGGGATCTGTGAGCCAGCCCGGCTACCGTACCCTGGGATACCCGTTGGTGCTCGGGCTCCTGACAAGCCATCCCGGAGCCCGATACCGTCGGGGTACCCTTTGGGTATACCCTGTGACCCCGGGAACAGGATCCAGCGCTAGCTGCATGCCAACCAGCAACCTAAACCCATATGAATATGGGTTTAGGTCAGGCCTTCTCCCATAGGACCCTGGCCTGGGTCCTATGGGATAGCCCTATTGTATAGAGCAGATGATTTTGGATTTGAGGGATATCAAGCAGTGTCATTTTTTCAGTGCCCCATCTACACAACTGATGGCTTGAAAACGGCCGATCTCAGAAGTCTGGAGATCGGAGGATCAAACAAGTGATGGTATCTTGCGGCTGACCGGTGCTATTCCCAACGGCTTTCTTCTTGGCCCACGAGGCCGAGCTGGACAATATTGAGCGGCCGGCAAAGGATATTGGTGACAATGAGCAGGCACAGCCAATCCAAAGGCCGGTGCAGGGAAGAAGATCCACACAAACAGGTCGGACTAGCCTACTCATCAATCGAGATAACATCGCAAATGGAGAGGTCGATTGTTGAGTGGTGGCCGTGCGTTTTTTTTTTCTTCCCGCAAATCGAGTCGGACTCCGGAGGCCGGGTATTTTTGAAGAACCAAAGTGGGTTTGCCCACTGTCTCACTGCTTTCAGTGGAAAAGAAAAACTGCCAATAACCAACTAAATACTCAACTTCCACCTCAGCCGCTTTCAAGACCAGCTCATCGGGAGGAACCCCTCCCGACGAGTTGGTATACAGACCAGCTTGTCAGAAGAGATTCCTTCCGACAAGCTGGCTTGAAAACCGGCTTGCCGGGAGGGGCCCCTCCCAATGAGCTGGGATTGAGCCGGTTGAATTTTTTTCAACAGCCTCAAGCGGCTATCCCTTTTTTTTGTGCTTATTGATTTGACATTGCGCACATTAGTCAATACCCTAATGTAAATACATGCAATGATGTTTGGAAAAAATTACATGATTGATTTTTTTTTTTAAATATTTATAACTATGAATGAGGAAACAAGAAAAATCTGAGTAAAAAAAGAAGAAAAAAGGAGAAAAAAGCGCCCATAAAAAGAAATAACTTGAAAATCCATCTCTTCAAATCAAGTCTAAACCTTTCGCAAAAACCAAGCCCAGCCAACTTTTGTCACGACTGCGGCCCAGACAGCGTGTTATGTGGTTGCTCAAGCCACATACCCTAGGATTAAATCAGGCAGAAAGTCAACCAAACCCAATCAACACTAGAGTCCAGCTCAATTGACCCACCAAATATCCAAGTATAATAGAAACCAAAGTAAGTGAGAAAAATTCAAAGAATTTGATAGAAAAAATAAAGAGAAAAAGATAACACAAAAAAGAAGATAACTAGAGAAAAAAGGAAGAAAGAAAAAAATATAAACTAATGATAATATTTTTTTTAATCCTCATTGATGTAGGTTGGAACATTTTTGAAACGCTTGGTATCAAGAATGAAGGTTGAGAGTAATTTGAAAACTGACGGATTATCAAGTAAGTCCTTGAGTGAATTCGGATTAATTTTGATTTTGTTTGAAATTAACAACGATCTGAACTTTCTTCTTTGATTGTTGAATTTGTCACAGTGGATGAGAAAGTGTTTGACGGTCTCCGGCGAATTACAGAGTTGACCATCCGGAGAGTCGATTTTGTTGATGCGGAAAAGAAAATCTTTAAGGGGTGAATGACCGACTCGAAGTTGATAGATGATCAAACTCAAACCCCTCTCGAGACAATTCAAGGAATTGAAAATCTTCATTGGTGAGTTTGATAAAGAAATATTGTTTCATATTATTGATTTCTTCTTTTTGTTGAAATTGAATTTGGATCTGACACCTTGTTGAATATTCGAAAGAGTTCTAGTTTGACAATTGAGATTGAAGAGTTGATTTCCTTCTGTCAAATCTTTGGCGAGCTGATCCACCTTCTCATTTTCCGGGATACCAACATGGTCAGGACACCAAAAAAGCAAAGTTGAGGAATGAAGAGTTGATTTAAGCAAAACTGATTTGTCAAAAATCTGAATGAAGGCGGGTTGATTACATTTTGGAAGAGGCGGCTTGGTGATAACTTGCAAGGCTGCTTGATTATCTGAAAAAATATTGATACAGTTTGAAGGCGGTAAGTTGTTGACATTGAACTGATTACTGATGATATTGAGACCAATATTGATAGCTTGAACCTCTGCTTCAAAAGCCAAAGTCTTATCTGCATCATTGATTCTACAGGCAAATGAGAGTGAACTATTAAGCAAAGCCGCCGAACCGGTCCCTTTGTTGGGAATGCTGGAGCCATCTGTGAAAAGAATAAGCTCATTATTGAACTTTTTAAGGGAAATCTTGTTAGTGACGATCTCTTTTGCTTTATCTTTTTAATTAACATCAATATAAAAATTTGACCAAGGTGGAATGACATGATGTTGAATTGTCTCAAGAGATTTCAGGTCGTAATCCAGAAAAAGATGACGATCCAGCACATTATGGATTGAAGATCAATGACTAGAGGGTTGATTATTCAGCTCTAAATTGATGAGCTGTTTGATCGGATGGTCGTCAGGCGCTGTAAGTTTTTTAACAAAATACAAATGGGTTTTTCTTTTCAAAACATCAAAAAAAGGGATAAGAGGTGAATCTTTGTCAAGAAAATCGCAAGGGGTAGTCCTGAAAACTCCCAAAATGATTTGATTTGCTTGATTATTGATTTTACTGATCAAATTTTTCACCGCG